TATATATATATATATATGGATAGTCTGTATGTATGTATGCGTATATACCTTTGTTTTTTTTCTTTCATCGGTAAAATAACAACTGAAGAAACTTTTTTTAATATTAGTATTGTGCTGACGGCACATTAAGTTTGTGTTTTTTTTTTCTTTTGGTTAAGCACAGGTACTGTACCTTGTAAAGAAGTTTGCTGACCGATCTTTCACTGAACAAAACAGTGAAACACAGAAGGAATTGCAATATATCCTTGTCAGTAGCAATGAATTACCTAAAGCTCCATGGGAAGAAGGAGTCTGTAAAGTCTGTGGTATTGACAAAGATGATGACAGTGTACTCTTGTGTGATGCTTGTGACTCTGAGTACCACACATATTGTTTAAACCCTCCACTTGCTCGGATTCCAGAAGGAAATTGGTATTGTCCATCCTGCATTTCAGTTCAAAATAAAATAAAAGATATAAATGCAAATGCTCAGGTTCCCCATTGTCAGCCAAGAAGACTTCTGGGGGAGGACACACAGGCATTTCATGAAGCTTTATATCAACTCGGGAAATCATTGGAGGAGAAAGAATACTGGGAACTAAGCTTATACAAGGTTTGATTTTGGCATTTAGTGCCTTTCTTCTCTTCAAAGTTTTATCATTCCCTATGATAGGTTCTGTGCAAAAATTCTGTCTGTGTATTAATTTTCTGATGTCGCCTTATATATATATATATATATATATATATATTGAGGATACTATGCTTGTCTCTTTGCCAGAAATGGAATTCAGCTGCTAGGAATCTGAAGGAATTTATCTCAGTTTAGTTTTTTCTTATCACTTTCATGTTTATATGTGATGTTATAATCTTGGATAGTTTAGGATGTAGACTGTTAATTGCATGAGGTACTCTTTTTATATGTTTGGCTGACTGAAGCTGTCATCTATGTTTCGCACTTGAATAAGCAACTATCGTCATCTTGGGATGAACATTTCTAATCGTAATAGTGCATCTTTTGCATCTCTTAAAATTATTTTGTTGGAGTTTGTTCTTTGTTTTGTATATTTGATTTTGCTATTATGTTCGGGAATTCACTTTATATGACCACTGGGTTGCTTTAAATCAAGAATTTGCATTGTTTAAGATGATTTACTTATTGTATCTTTACATGATTATGGTTAGCTGTTGGAATTTGGAGATACACTAATTATGGAAAACGAAGCTCAGAAAATACTTGTTAGTGTTAAGGAAAAAAGTGAAAGAAGGCATGAAGGACACAAGAAGATCATAGAAGCTAGAGATGTATGTAATTTGATAACTTATCCTTCTACGTCCAAGGTCTCATGAAGTACACTTTATAATCTATGGGTGGGTTTTCTCTAGCGTAGGATATTTTCCACTAGTAGGTAAAAAACTACTGTTGGAATGAAGTAAACAATTTAAGATCAAAATCCATAGACCTTCATGCTTGAGCTATCATCATTCTAGTAGTGCATTTATGTTGTTATAGGCGCATGATAATTGAATAGAATGTTTCTCTCTGATGCATTTGTACCTGTTCTGTACATTCTGAAATAAATTTAATGTTTTCAACTGCATGATATTGATACTTTGTTCTTTTATGATTGCAGAGAGTATTTTTACTTAAGTTCTTATGTGATGAAGTTCTCAACTCTCTGCTAATTCGTGAGCACCTTGAGCAATGCACTGATCGGTCAAATGATCTCCATCAGAAATTGCGTTCCCTCACAGTTGAGTGGAGAAATTTAAAATTCAAGGAGGAAATGTTGGCAATGAGAACTGTGAAAGAATACACAAGCAAATCTATTGGGGTTGAAGGTACAGTGAAGGAAGATGCAATATCTCCCATGCTTGTAACTCACGGTAGACTGATGGAACAGCAGCAAAATTTTTGTAACAAAATGCACTATTCATCTATTCCTGCTGTGAAAGTTATGCCTATCCAGTTAGAGAGTTCCCTTGAGGAATGTGGTCAAACTGATGAACATGTGCGAATTAACCAGCTTGTAAAGAGTGCCAATGTTAAACATTCCAATGGTAATATATCTCAGAGCTGTTCTCCAAGCAGCACAAGTATTATTGATGGTGGAACAACAGCTGATGTTGAGCTTCCATCAAGCAAGGGGGCAGTAAATGTTCCTACCAAGAAAGATAATGAAGCACCAGAAAAAAGCATAAAAAACGTTGAACATAGAGAACATATAATTGCCGTTAATGACAGTTTGGATAAGGGAAGCGTCTTAAATGCTGAGAAGAATGGTAACTTGTTGTCAAATGCTGATGCTGCAGTTCTTGGGAATTGTTTGTTACCTGATAATGGGGGCACAATTTGCGGTGATACTGTTACAATGACCAACAGTTATGGGGTAAAAATACCATCGCAGAACTCGTTCACATTTCAGCAAAGTGCTACTTTGCAAGGAAATGTCTTGAATATTAATTTCAGTACAGTTAATTGTGATAACTGTGACTCTGAGATGAATTCATTGGAAAAAGAAATATCAAAACTGCAGGAGTCAATTGTTAGTATGGAATCGCAACTTATGATGGCATCTTTGAGGAGGGAGTTCTTGGGGAGGGATTCACTTGAGCAGTTGTATTGGATCAATGGCAGGCCTGGCAAAAGGTCATGGTTGGTGGTAGATGGAAGTATGCTGATGGCACAAGAGAGGAAACAGGTCAAAGAGTTGGATCCTGAGTCTAAGTTTTTGCAGGATTTTGGTTCGAGTGATCCAAGTTTGAGAAGAAAGGCATCAGGCTTGATTCATTGTTACAACACATCTGACTATGATATGCATGCAGGTACAAATGGTTCATCTCCAATTGTTCTATTTGAATCGGATTCAGAACTAGAAAAACTTGTTGGCTGGTTAAGAGATAGTGAACCTAGAGAAAGAGAATTAAAGGAATGCATCTTACTGTGGCAAAGGCTTAGATTTTATCCGGAAAATTGTTGTGTTTCCCGTGGATCTCAGCAGCCATCTAATAAAACTTCTGTTTGTGAGGAGTTTGTAGCCATCTCATTAAATACAAAGGCTACAAACATTCTAGAAAAGAAATATGGTCCATTTTCTGAGGTTGAAGCCAATGGAAATCCTAAAAGACGGGGGAAGAAGGCTAAAGTTGGTCATGATGATAGAATGTACAGATGTGAGTGCCTGGAGCCTGTATGGCCTTCTCGCCACCACTGTATCTATTGCCATCAAACTTTTTCCACGTTACAAGAACTTGAAGGACATAATGATGGAAGGTGTACTTCAAGTAATCCTGCATCCGATGATGGCAAGGAATATGAAGATTCAGTAAAAACTAAAGGAGTAAGATGGGAAGCCACCAGGGAGAAGGAACATTATGATGGTTTGGACAACACTGAGCTTATGAAAAATGGAAAATTGGGCATTAACTTGAGGTCACTTAATTTTCAAAGGAAAAAATGTCCATATGACCTTAATGAGGTTAGTAAAAGGTTCATCACAAATGATTCAAACAAAGAGTTGGTTAAAGAAATAGGTCTTATTGGTTCAAAAGGGGTCCCCTCCCTCATTCCAGGTTGCTCCATGCTGTTCCCTGATTCAGCTCTTATCTTAGATAATAATAGTCGTGACAATGATTCTGTGAAAGAGGGAATCTCAAATCACACAGAAACTCTTAGCAAAGACATAACCCGAAGTGATGAAAAAGAGGCGAGAAACATCCCTAGACTACCATGTAATGGTACTGCTGATGATCAGGGTGTGTGTCTTTTGAGGAATGAGGTTCTTTTGTCTGGTTGTGCAGAGGTTCAAAGTACTTCATGCCCTGCATTTGGTAAACCAGAGCATTCAAAAGGTTATCGAAGTTGCACAATTCCTGAGCCATCTTTGAGACCACTGTTTGGAAAGATATCTCAAGTTGCAAAACGTCTGAAAATGAATCTACTTGATATGGATGCAGCTTTGCCCGGAGAAGCAATTAAAACTTCCAAAGCTTGCCTGTTTAGGAGATGTGCATGGCGGATGTTTGTTAAGTCAGCAGAATCAATATTCGAGGTAAGGTTCATCTTTAAATATAGCTATTGTTTTTTATGTTTATCTTGCTGCTTCCTATTTCTGCAGTATCTTTATGAACTTGTTAATTCAAACATTTGAATCTCATGGTTTTTCCGGACATGCAGGCATTTTGCTAAAAATCCAGATGGATGTGGATGTGTCACATCAAAAATAGTTACAATAGTTACGAAACTCTATTCCTTAAACTAATAATTTCTAGAACATATTCCTGGTTTTGTTGAAATATTAACTTCAGATCTCGTTTATCACACTATTTCAACGAAAATTTATTAAGCTGGCAGATATTATGAGCAGTGTTGTTCTTATATTTATAATTTGTTGATATAGGACGTGCAACACTAATTATTGTTAAGAGAACTTCTAGAATGTTTATGGCGACAGACTTCTTTACTCGATGCACGAGTACAAGAAGTGGGAGAAGCATGCTATATATTTAATGGCAATAGACTTGGTTCGCAAGAATATCTGTCTGTATGTATTTCCAGCTTTGATTGTGTCGAAAAAGGATGGATTTTTATTCTAATATGATAGACTTTGGAAAGACGTATGTGTTTTGGAGTTTTCTGAATGAGACGTGAGCATAGATTTTGCAGTGAGACTGCCTCAGACATGACAAGGTGATGATTTTCATATGATGATGATAGATCAATTCCAGAATCTTCCAACGAAGAAGGAAAAACTCCTCCTACTTATGAGGAATGATGCGGTCATAATCTTGTGACTTGTTGGATTCGCAGTTGCAGAAATTCTGCAATCTTGTTGTCGAAGCCTATTTTATTTTTATTTTCTTTCTTTTATTTTCAGAAAGTTTCCTTTGCTTCTATTTTTATCCTCTCCTATTTCTCTAGTTTTTAATTAGGTATTTGCTATGAGGGGATTTGTATATATGTTGTAGTACGTTGTTAGGGATTTTAGTTTTTCTGATTTGATGAATTGAGAAGTGTTCTATAAGTTTTGCTCTTTGGAATGTTTTATTATTTTCTTTTGCCAGCGATGTGTCTGTATCTTGGTTAGGAATAAGTGGAACACGCACGTCGTTCGTATATCACCGTCCGACCTACTATTTTCAGCCAGGAAGCCATCCAGCTCGCTGTTACCTGCTGTTTGCAGGAAATCACTATCCTCCTGCCTCCGTCTCCTGGGGCAGTTGCCGATCGATGCCAAATTGCTGTCCAAAAGCCACCTTAACCTCATAATCCATTCCAAACTCCATTGAACTTGCATATTACTTTTCCCTTACCATACCACAATCACCTCCCCTTTAAACCTGCTTCCTGAATACCATCTAGGAGCCCTAGAGCGGTATCAGTGCATATCGAACAGAAATTTTGCAATTAAAAATTCTAAACTTCCACCAAACTGTTGGGTCAATTATGGAGTAGCATCAAAATAATTTATATCTTTTGTTGCTCAGAGTACTATAATATTTTTGGATTTGTGTATCAATTTGTTGGAGAATATTTCTAAGTATTGTGAACGTTACATTTCTTACTATTGTGAAGTATTTGGAATTAAGAAAATTCCACATCTTCCTAGCTGGATCTTTAAATGTGATAGTGAAGGCAATAGATATCTCAAAATTATTATGTAATCAGGTAATGTCAATGTAATCAGATGCCTGTCATTTTGGAAAATTTAATGTCGTTAGTGCTCTTTGGCAATTGCATCAAGGTAAGAGTATCTTGTGAGAACCAACGAGAAAATGAAATGCCATCTACTATAGGAAAGATATTTGTTGCTATTAAATTTGATGGTGGAGGATTTCATCTTAGTGAGAGAAGAGACAATAGTCATGACATCTTGAGGAGATTTTTGCAGAGAATCAAAGAGAAATTGAAATCATTTAGATGGCACGTTCATTTCTAATAACTCATGTTGCAAACAAGCTACAATTTTGGGTGTAGTCTTTGATACTATTCGGCATATCTAGAATAACGCTTAATGAGTTTCATTTGCCTTAGTAGTTATTATTAAGAACTCATAAGATTGAAACGGGAAGATGCCTAATATATCTTACTTTCATGTATTTGGGCGTAAGTATTTTGTTTTGAAAAATGGGAAAGAAGGTTTAACCTAAATTTGATACCCGATCAGATGAAGGTGTTTTTCTAGGATATCCTATCATGGTAAGGCATATAGAGTATTTAACAAGAGATCATTGATTATAGAAGAATTCGTCCATGTGACATTTGACGAGCCAATGCAAAGTTTACCTAAGATGAGAGATTTAAATGATAAGGAGATTGATAGATTGGAAAATTTGAATTTGGATCAGCCCAATGTTGGGGAAAATGCTTCCAGCCATCCTAAGGAGTTGATTTTAGGAGATCCTTCTCGAGGTGGTAGGCTTTGGAATATTATAAGGCACTTTTTGTTATGTTTTATTTATTTATTTATTTATTTTGCTTACACAAACCACTACTTATTTGGGAGCTATTTTTACAAGTTTTTTCTATGGTAATTAGACGGATATAAGACTACTTTCAAGCATCATAAAATTTTTCTTTTGAAGCGGTTAAAGGTTACTATTTAAAATCACGCTCTTTTTAAACATTCACATGATATTGGTTTGGATGTGCCAACAAAAATGAGAAAAAATACGATGGATGGTGCTTGATGCATGCTTGTCAAACCAAAACTGGGTGCAAATATTCTCATTTTGCTCATCATGACTACGTTTCTGTATTATCCTCCTTAAAAATAAAATTTCTATCAAGTATCAACCTATAAGGGATTGTCACTTTTAGCTGAATATTGCTGCATTTATTCACCTTAACATGTTTTGCTAATGAATTGATCCACTTAAAATTATTATATTTGTTGATGACAATATCATGAAATTTAATTATTTCTATTTTATTTTGTAGTTGGTTCAAGCGACTATCCTGTTTGAAGACATGATCAAGGCTGACTACTTAAAAAATGGATGGTGGTACTGGTCTTCCCTCACTGCAGCAGCAAGGACAGCCACAATGTCATCTCTTGCTTTTCGTTTATATGCTTTGGACGACTCTATTATCTATATCAAGGATCTCACAGAAAGTTTGGATTCAGATGGCCAACGGCTAATAAGCAGGATTGGAAGGAAGAGGAAAGATTTGGAAGTAGGATCCTAGTCTTGCCAGTTAATACACTGGGAACAGTTTGAATTTTATTGAGACTTGTGCGGTGGCAGCTTCTTAAAATCTTGGAAGGGTTTCTACCCTGCTTCAGTAACATCGGCAAACTTATGAATACAGAAGAGGACACTAGAACAAATCGGCTGCTACAGCCTTCATGTACATAATGTGACTGACCACTGACGAGACAGGGTGGCTGGCTCTGGGCCGGTAGACTTGTTGGGTTATACTTGTATTTTTGGCTAGAATGAGTTACTGGATTGGCTGTTTGGCATTTTTCTTAGGGCATTTGAAGATTTCATATGACTGAAGGGAAAAATTTTAATTGGTGGATGCGAGTCACCCTTGGTTCAAAAGATTTATACAACATACAGAATTAAAATCCATGTAAAAGAAGCTTAAGTTTGAGCTAATTTAATCAAATGAAGGGTTCTTTCAATTTTGATTTCTACATCCTTTCTTCACTGTTATTTTCTTCCCTATTTTACTGAGTTCCTCTATTTTTTTTTTCACTTCATGAACGTCTACTCCAAAATAATACGATATTTTGTGCTTCTGCTGTCCATCTGCTTTCCATTATTGCAGTTTATTTTCTTTCAATATCCATGGAGCTGTGGCAGCGAGTATGGCGAGGACTTCTTAAAAGACTTGTTTCTGTTTTTTCCCAGGACAAATGGTAATGAAGCTTGTGTGCAGTTGGCAAACTTCTCTAATTGAGGACTTCTTTCTGAAGGTAGCAGCCCTCATGCTAGTATTTTGATCCTTCAAAAATTATTCAGAGCTCTTAATTTTATTTTTTTCATAATTCTCTTCACATTTTTTTATGAGCAGATAATTGTTTTGCAGCCATTTTTTGAAGTGTTGCTTCAACATAATGAAAGCAACATAATATTATGCTATACTTTTGTATTTTTTGGTGAGCGTGTATGTCCTGCGCATGCATATTCTTTTAAAAACCTGCTCTGTATTTTTTTTGCAGAGCTGCTCGGTTAGAGCAGGGCTTATCAGATGGTTGGTCGGTCAATGAAAATATATCCTTGATCTGTTATTGGCCTGTTGCAGTCCCTGGGTTTCCTAAGAGTGTAGTTCTCATTTTGATTATTGAATAGCGTGAAGACATTTGATTGTAACTTTTTTGTGGACTGTCCATAGATTCATTGCTTGTATTTCCCACCTCTTTGCTGTCATTATTTGTATCATTAGGATCAATTATTTTGGTCGTAAACGATCATTCATCTCTTAGTTATTGCGATGAATATTCAAAAATCTTTTAACTATTTTTTTTTCTTTTTTAATGGTGCTTATCCTGTTAGTATTTGCATTTTTTGGATGTTATAGAAAGTCAATGAAATTAGTTCAACTTGTTGACTTGTACAAATACATAAATATAGATGCTCTTAAGCCCAATTCTTTATTTTTTTTTTTTAATTTGCTTCTGACAAGCGATCATAAGCAAAGCTGTGGTTTGCCTGGGTTTCAGTAATTTAAATGGCTCTTTCTGAAAGCTTATTTTTCAGATGATGATCCTAAAACTGGAAGTTGACGTTTATGAAATTTTGACTAGAGGTCAGTACTTCGAAAATTTCTTCTCAGCTCTATTTTATAGGATGAATTCAATCCTACATTTATTGATGACAGGTTGATGCACAATATCCGGAGAGAAGTAGTACAAAACAGCTTAAATCTATAATAATTATTTTTTTGATGGTACTTATCCTGTTACTATTTGCATTTTTTGATGCTATAGAAAGTAGATGAAATTAGTTCAACTCATGCACTTGTACTAATGCATAAATATGGATGCACTTACATTGTTTAAGCCCTTTTCTTTATTTCTTTTATTAGTATTTGACGAGCAATCACAAGCAGAACTGTAGAATGCTTGGGTTTCAGTAATTTAAATGGCTCTTTTTGAAAGCTTATTTATTAGATGATGAGCCAAAAACTGGAAATTGAAGTTTATGAAATTTTGTCTCGATGTCAGCTCGGAGCTCTATTTTATAGGATGAATTCAACAATGCATGTTATTGAAGGCGGTTTGATGCACAATATGCAGAGATCAGTACGGCAAAACATCTTAAATTTATGGAATTTAAGCTTTTGACTAATTTTATGGAGCAAAATAAAAAATCCGTGGAGTGCAACATGGCCAAAAATCTGGTCCTGATTGTAGTTTGAAAGATGCATAATAGCTATATGACAAGTAGTTGATAAAAGCTGTCCAGATAAGATTTGACTGCGGTAATCATTCATGATTTAGGCAATGAAGTCACAGGATTTCTAGCATTGAAGGCTATGGATTATTGTCCTTTTCAAGTCTATTAATAATTTGTTATTTTCCTGTTTGGTTCTATTTTAATTTTTTGAAAATTAGTACAAGAATTGTGGATTTAACATGTTCCCTCATCCTGGCATTTTTTTTATTTTAATGTCCCATGGCACTTGTAGATTGTATTAGCTGTTTTTTTTTATAAATAAAACAGTAATACCAAAATGATCTAAAAGAGTCATATCCAAGTACAAGACGTGTAAACAAGCATAACATTCTGCTAGAATTATTTTATTTGCAACCCCCTATACTGATTGGACATTTTATCCATATATTCACTAGGCATTCGTAAAGCTTTAAATTTATATTTCATTCTAGCACATATTAATTTTATTTTAACTGCAGCAGCAACAACAATAACAACAAAGCCTTAATCCCACTACATCCTATTTTAACTGCAACACTTGGACAAATAATTGAGTATTCAATAAACTAAATGGGTTGGAGAAAAGGTTAAGGAGATTGATAATTTAGGGTTTAAACTTTGATATTCTGGTAAGAGTCGCACTAGAAATTGTGTATGTGTAATTATAGATAAGAGTTTAAAAGATAATGTTGTAAAAATTAATGGAGTTGGAGATAGAATTAAAATCCTTAAGATTATTATTGATATTAAGATTTTTAATATTATAAGTGCTTATGCTTCTCAAGTAGGTTTAGATATAGGACCTATAGATGAATTCTGGAATGACTTGAAAGTCTTAATAGAAATGATACATCTTCAAGAAAAAAATTTTATTGAAGGAATTTTAAATAGACATGTCGGTAGAGTGGTAGAAGATTTCCGAAATATTCATGGTGGTTACGGTTTTGGAGTATATGAAGAAGGTAGAGTCACTTTAGATTTTGCTTTTGCGTATGATTTTATTATTACTAATACTTTATTCAAGAAAATAGATAAATATCTTATTACTTATAAGAATGGATTTAATAAAACACAAATTGATTATTTTCTTATGAGAAGAGATTGTTAAGATTGTAAAGATTGTAAGGTCATTCCAAGTGAGGATTTAAGTGTCCAACATCGATTATTAGTTCTAGATTTTAAGATGAAAAGTTGTAAAATAAACAATATTATAATTCATCATCGTAGAATTAGAAAGGGAACCTAGGGTACCCAGAAGACACAAATAAAATTATTTCTATGAGTAAAATTTAAAATTTCAAAATTTGGGATGTTCATGAAGAATTAAATGCTATGTGGGATAAAGTTACAAACACTATTAAACAAGTAGCAAAAGATGTACTTGGAGAATCAAAAGGAAAAATTTCTATAAATAAAATAGTTGGTGGTGAAATAATAATATGCAAAAAAGATAAAATATAAGAAGTTATGTTATAAAAATTGGTTTAAATGTAAAAACTTAGAGAACTTGGAAAAATATCAAATGGCCCGGAGCGAGTCTAAAAGGACGATCTGTGATGCTAAAAATTTTGCTTTTAGTGATCTTTATAATAGATTAGATACTAAAGAGGGTGGAAAATATATGTATAAACTAGCCAAACAAAGAGAAGAAAAGTAAAGATTAACTCAATTAAAATGTATTAAAGTTGAAAATCAAAAAGTGTTTTTCTTGAAAAAAGATATTCAACATAGGTGTGAGTTATTTTGATAAGTTTTTTAATGAAGATAAGTTTTTTAATGAAGTTTTTTTTTAATGAAGTTTCTAAAAATACGATCAACTTTAGTGATCTTAATATCATTAATAATAATAAAACGTTTCATTTTTACCATCGCATTAGTAAGAAAGAAGTTGAGGAGACTAACAAAAATCAAAGGTGGAAAGTATGTAGAACCTGATGATATCCCAATTGAAGTGTGGAAATATTTAGATGATTTGGGAGCTTCTTGGCTTACTAAACTCTTTAATATTATTTTAAAAACTAATAAGATGCATGAGAAGTGAAGGAAGAGTATTTTGGTCCCCATTTTTAAGAATAAAGGGGATGCACAAGAGTGTGCAAATTATAGAGGAATTTAATTGATGTGTTATACTTTAAAATTATGGGACAGGATAATTGATCATAGGTTAAGACGTATTATAAAGATTTCTCATAATCAATTAGGATTTATGCTGGACAGGTCTACTATGGAAGCTATACATTTATTGAGAGGATTGATGGAGTGATGGAGAAAGATTGATGGAGAAATTCAGAGATAATAAAGAGGATCTACATTTGATTTTTATTGATTTAAAAAAAGCTTACGATAAGGTTCCAAGAGATATTTTTTGGAAAGTTCTTGAGAAAAAAGGTGTTGATATGACGTGTATTCAAGTCATTAAAGATATGCACACTTTATTTGTTACTTGTGTTCAAACTGAAGGAGGATTGACCGAATATTTTTCTATTTCTGTTGGATTACATCAGGGATCGACTTTAAGCCCATATCTTTTTTGCTTTAGTTATGGATGGTTTTACTGGACATTTACAGGAGGATGTACCTTGGTGTATGTTTTTTGCTGATGATATCCTTCTCGTGGATATGACGAGAGAAAAAACCGAGATGGAGTTCAAGAAATACATGAATTATGGAGGGCTACATTGAAGTTTAAAGACCGTCATTTGAGTAGAACTAAAACTGAATACATGGGATGTAATTTTAGTAGTATTAGCTCTAGTGACAAAAGTGTAACTTTGGGTGATCAAATTATTAAAATCTGTGAATGATTTAGATGTCTTGAGTCTGTTGTTCAAAGCGATGGTGATATTGATGCGGATGTTAATAGTAGAATTCAAGTTGGTTGGTTCAAGTGGAGGAATGCTTCGGGCCTTTTGTGTGATAGAAAAGTACCGTTTAGACAGAAAGGAAAATTTTATGAGATGGTGGTGAAACCTACAATGCTCTATGGTGTTGAATGTTAGTCTTTAAAAGAGAAGCATAATACTAAGTTAGGTGTTGCCAAGACGAGAATGATTAGGTGGATGAGTGGCTTTACACTTAGAGAAAAAATGCGAAATGAATATATCTGTGATAGGGTTGGTGTAGCTCTAGTGACGGAAAAAATTAGAGTCGTCTTAGATGGTTTGGGCACATTAAATGTCTACCATCTGATGATCCGTTTAGGAGAATAGATGTTTTAAATTCGGCTTATGTTAAGAAAGGCAGATGTAGACCTAAGAAGACTTGAGCTTGTTGTATAAAAAAAGATCTTAATTTATTAGAACTAAATAAGAATATGACACTAAATAGGACGCAATGGAGAAAAAGGATTCATGTAGCCGACCCCACGTAGTGAGATTAAGATTTTGTTGTTGTTGTTGTTGTTGTTTTGTGAAGTTATAATGGGTTTTTCATTCAATTAATTTATCTTCAATGGCTTGTGGAACCTATTTGAGGATTACTTTTTCTATAATTTAGCATTGTCTTTCATTGTGTTCCCGTAATTGAAGCCATGGACATTGTTTTTGCTTTCTATTTCTCGAGTTACTTTTAGTCGTTTTTCTTCTTTTTAATTGCTATATTATCTTTCATGCAATATATATATTATCTTTCATGCAACATATATACTATTTGTTAACTGTTTGGTTGCTCATTTAGAAGGGCGGCGTCGCTTATGGCATTTCCGTACAGTGTAGTAGCATTTCATGTAGATGATCTTATGTTGATTTTCAAAAGAGAATATGTTATAACGTCAGTGGATCATACTCAGTTATTTGTCCAATTGCTGCAATTAAACTAAAATTAATATGTGCTAGAATGAAATATAAATGTAATGCTTTACGAATGGCTTGTGAATATATGGATCAATTGTTTAATAAGTATAGGGGTTGCAAATAAAATAATTCTAGCAGGATGAATGTTATGCGTGTTTACACGTCTTGTATATGGGTATGACCCTTTCAAATCATTTTGTTA